AAGACTTCTCAAAAAGACCTTGTGGTTCTCTGTGACATCTGTGTCCCCCAGTGTGACACATGCACATGATAAAACCCGACAAAAAGGTGGCATGTGCACAAGTCATGGGCACCAGTAACATGACCTTGAACAAGGTTCTTAAACGAAATAATGTTGTCTGTGGAATTGCTCTGGTACTATCAAAGTTTTTATGCTTTTCTTCTGAGACACTGACAGTGTAGCTCAAAAATGTATAAACCAAGAAACAAAGCAGTTTTAATAACAGCAGGTCCATGTAAACAAAAACATGTGTAGTGTCTTTTAAATGACGACATTTATTTTGTGTGACGTTGAAAATCATGTCAAAAACCCAAATGAATGATAAAGATGATGATAAAACACAAGGAAACATGTGATCTGTCCATCTTAACTCTTTCAACTGATTGTGGTATCAAAGTTACTGTACATTACTAAATGATTATTACCTAACCAAAAAGGGGTTTGAAGTAATTGTTAAGTAATGACCTAACAGCAGTGATCTGATTGGTTTGATTGTTTAGTATGAGAATTGTGGTGTGTCTCAGAAACCGTGGAGAGCAGAGCTGGATTTTTTGCCTGAAAAAACTCACACCCTACAAATGGGTCTTTGGGCGTTTCCTCTGGAGTACTGCAAGTCATTAACTCTTACAATCAGATAAAATGGTTTAGATACTTTCACTCAGTCCTGCTAGATTTGTGAAAACACATTCTGTGTTGAACTCTGTACGGAAACACAGCCTGGACACAGGTTCCCTGCGTTGTGTCAGGGAGAACTTTTATTATTTTTTAACAGGGGATTATTGAATAGCTTCATCCGAGGGTTGGGGGTGTTTCTTGTGTAGAGACATTCCTCGCCCTGCAGACTGAACATTACCCAGCTGTCCTCACTTGTGAGGGAAACAAACGGAGCAGGAGCCTTACCGCCCATGACCGGAACGATCCCACACAGAGATGCAGCTTCCAAATATTCTCACAGTAAAATGCTTTCATTATTGATAGTCCAGCACCAGTCTGTGCACGCTTGAGTGAGTTGGAGCAGACTGTTCAGGATGATTTGAGGCCAGGCTCCCGTAATGTCCTCTCCAGCCTAAACAGCACGGCCTGGCTTGTGTTTTGTCATTAAGGACAAACCTGGTATTATAATTGTCATTATAACATAAAACAGAATATACAGGTATGAAACCAACAGGATGCCAACAGATGTCAGAATCAGAACTGTTCAGACCACATCATGATTTCAGTTGGACATGTAAAAGGAATTCCATTATGCTTATCAGCTAAAGGCAGCTCTATCCTGTTCTCCCAGATCTCCCAAATTAGTGCCTCCTCACACCAGGTGCTCTTAGGGTGGTGGCCTCCATAATCCCATCATACACTTCTCCCAAGGAGCAGAGACAACTCTAATAATAGCTGCCCTCCATTTGTCCAGAAATACCGTGGGAGCACAATTAACCTACAAGTTGACTCCAGATGGATTTTCTCACAGAATATAATGACGTATATGAACCTCATCTCTGTATTGTATCTATCATGCAGATTTGGCTTGAAATAGATGCATGGCAGCTTGTGCAACTGACGAAAGTGTGTTTAAATAGTGCTTTCACCTGCGAAATTATGACTTTAATGAATGAATTAACATTTCCACAAGTCTGTATTTGATGAATACAAAACAAGAATCATGTGTTGATTACTGACTTGCTTTCTCCTGGGCCAGGGTCCACTACTAATGGTTGCTGCTTTTCAAGCTTTTATACTTTAAAAGATGTTAGCAAATTGTTAGTAAATCGCCAGTAAAAAGACTGGCAAGTTAAATTTATTCTAAAATTAAGCAATTTTTTAAGCTGCACATTTATTAAAAACCTTTTTTCAATGTATTTAATTATTGAAAAAAATGGGAAATTGCACTGAATCAAACACTGCTTGACATTATAATGTTCTGGACCTTATTTGCTCGCCTCTGAATTTTTATTGAATTCCTTTTTTAGACGTTGGGAAGGCGGAGACCCTGGTGTGTCCAATCAGAAGACTCCAACCACAATCCTGCTGACTCCAGACAGGAAGTTCCACAGTTTTGGCTATGCTGCTCGGGACTTCTACCATGACCTGGACCCCAGCGAGTCAAAACACTGGCTTTACCTAGAAAAGTTCAAAATGAAGCTCCACACCACTGCTGTAAGGACAGCAACAGACATACTGTGAACACAGACAACAAGTGCATCACAGTTCTGTTGCTCATTCTTTGAGCAAATATGCAAAGTAGCATTACAGACACACTCCTTCTGCATCACAGTGATCGTCCCACCTCAGCTGATGAGAAATATTGTGTTGCAGCTTTTTCAGTCTGAAGTGATACTTCACTACTTTGCTGACTTTCCTTTTTCTTGTCATTTGGGAGGCATTTCTGTCACTAGCTGTCGACTCAATGTCCTTTACTTCCCACAATTCACTGCTGAACATGATCTGAAAGATGCTGTTACCATCAGCAGTATGTTGTGTTCAATCAGAGTCATCACAGCAGTATGAGAACACCATGTCAGCCTGCTGGTTGGTTTTTCTGTTCGTTCATCAAACCTCAGAGCAAGCTGAGTCACCAGTTTTCATCCAACCATTATCAACATTTTATACTAGTAATAATTACAGCAACTGTTACAGCATATTTTGAACAAAAGTAGCGATGATATTGTAAATAATGTTCCACCCTGACACAAATACATTTCATTTAGGTACCACAGATTGTACAAACCTAAAGTCTTACTCCTCTGTACCATAGAGCTCAAAGTTCAAAACTGTCACTATATAAATAACATCTAAGAGCCACACTGTTGCACTGGGTCACATTTTCCGTCCACAAAATGAAAACATACTTTGCTGTGATTATTTGGACTTTCTTACGCACCAGGTGGGGATTAATCCACCTTAAAAATTCAAATCTAATTTATATGTTTTATTTCTCCAACCAGAATCTGTCCATTGACACAGACCTTCATGCAGCCAATGGGAAGCGAGTGAAAGCTCTGGATATCTTTGCGTATGCATTGGCCTTCTTTAAGGAGCAAGCACTTAAGGTAACATCTCTCAGCACTGTTTTCAACACGTTTTTCTTATTCGGTTGATATTCTATGACTATTCTGTAAAATATTAGGTTTAATTTTACCTGACCTAATTAGACAGTTTTAATATAGCTCTCTAAAAGATGTCATCTGTCTCGAGCAGGTTGTACTTTGAGCCATTATGAACTTCTCAGCAAGCAATGATAGCACCGAACAATCTTTCACACAGACCTAGTAATTATAAATTCTGACTCCAAAGCTATACCCATGCCAGTGAGTTGTGTATTAAAGAAAGTGTGTTTGAATGTTTATCCTAAAGGAGCTGAGTGACCAGACAGGTGGTGACTTTGACAACAACGATGTGAGATGGGTGATCACGGTTCCTGCCATTTGGAAAATGCCTGCAAAGCAGTTCATGAGGGAAGCTGCCTATAAGGTAGGCTGAGTAGCTGCAGTCAAATGTATGCATCCAGTTTGCACCCGTGGTTTGCAGAATGGCACAAGATTTAAGAGAGAAAGAAAAAAAAGAGATGAAGGCTCATGGCTGCTGCAGTGCCACACACACACACAGACACACACACACACACACACACGCAGGCACAAATATAGTGACCTCCAGGCTGTGGTTGAGAACACAGTCATCAATAAAGAGACACAAATACACAGAAGTGAAGGAAGGCTGCAGAAGCACAAAGACTGATGGAGAAATTATTATGAACCAGAGCTTTCCATAAGCTTTTGATTCCAATAAAATAGTTTTGATTAACAAATTAAAATTTTATGTGTGTGTACATTGCTTGACCCTCTGAGTCGTCTCTATAAATCAATATCAGCATGGAGAAAGGTGATCGTCTGTCTGTATCAGTCCTGCCCTCACTTCTTCTGCATGAATATGGACGTGCTCAGCTGAGGCAATGTTTGACTCATATTAGAAAAAAATTTAAAATTATAGGAACAATGCACATTGAGCTAGTTGAGCTGGAGCGATCGGTGAGCCGGTCACTTAGATTGGACAGCATGTTGCAAAGGCTCACGGGACTGTCAAGTTTTCTGGTGAAATACAGCTATTTTGGTAGTGTTGTGTTCATGTTCTGACTTTGTTCATGTGGTTTTTATGTCTGTGTGTTTGGGATAGATTCAAGTTTGGTTACGTTTATTGATAAATGCATCCACTACGACTATGAGGTGTGGTGTCTGATGGGGTCCAGTCACTGTTGAAAGTGTTCACATGTTTAATAAACCATCTTGCTTACAGTTGTGCTGTGAATGAGTTGAGATGAGATGAATGTTTAGCATTAAAAGGAAATATTAAGTTATGTATTCCCAGGTAAACTTGCCACAATAAATTAGACACACACACACTTTATAATAACACATAAAAGTTAAAAAAACAGGACAACATTATACAGAACACACGCTCTGGCTGCTTGAATCTGAACAGTATGGTCACACACTTGATTCCTTTAACCATGATTTTAAATTAGCTTTAAATGAACAAAATGTACCGCAGTCTCTGATGGATTTTGACAGACTGATCCAAGTGTGAGCTGCTCTAATTGAGAAAGCTGACTGCCCAAAGTTGGTCCTCCTCATTGGTTTTATACAACCTCTTACTTCTGACCTAGATAAGAGCACTAAGAGGGGGAGGAGCCAACTGTGAAGAACCTTGTACACAAGAGTGTTTGAAAATTTGATGATAATGTCCCAGCTCGGTGAATTATGTTTTCTCAAGCAATAACAATGGTGGTGTTTATTTGGCATCCTGTCAAGCACCTTGATGGCCTGATTGACTGTACAGGATTATAACATATGAAGAATTACATTGACTGCACAGACAGAAGACATCCTCATTATACAGACTACTGCAGAAAAAAGTATCTGGACCGTCTCATAGTAAACATGGAAAAATCCACATTTCTGGTTGTTCCCGCTACACACACAAACACACACCCGTTACATACACAGACTTACAAAGTTAAAACAATAGCAGTCACACTGTAGCCTCTGGTAACATTGACTTTGGTGGTTCCGTTACATTTATCTTTGCAGTCTTGTCAAAGGAGAGTCTCTGCAAGAAGAGATTTTTAATCTTTTACGTATGAGTCCCCCAGGACCATCAGTGTATGTGGTCACTGGGTGTGGCTGTCTGCAGTGGAGAAGTGGCCCGAGGAGGAGGAGAGACAGAGGACAGCTGTGTGTGTCTGTGTGTGTGTGTGTGCGTGTGAGAGATAGTGATGTAAATTTTATTAGGGAGGAGACTGGTGAACGCGACTGCTTTAGTCTAAATTACAAACCAGAAACACAACCAGCCTTTGTCGTACTTTGCTTGTCTTTTTTAAAAGCAAAATTCATAATATTAATTGATTCAAATAGGTTTTAAAATGTTCCCAACATAATGAATTCAACCTGTTCAATGCTGATATGTAGGAAATTATCTCTGCTGTACGAACATGACTGAGAAGTTTTTGCAGATTCATCACATTCAAATATTGGGTTTAAAGATGATCTATATAAGTTATATAATCAAAAGAAAACCCATCTACAGTGGATCGTGGCCTCACTGACACCACATTATAAATCGTGTGGTCTGTCAGATGTTCACTGATAAATGACTATTGACAGGAAAGCTTCACATTCAGCATTCAAGCACTGCTAAACACTAGTGCAGCATTAAAAAAGTTCGATTTTTGCTCCATTCATTTTAGTATTTTGGGTTCTAGACCAAACACTTCATACACACTAACAACCGCATTGTGTATTACCTTTTATTTATATATTTAGCGTAAATCAAGAGTCCTACAGAGGAGTGGAACTCACCTCCTATCAAGGGCCATTAAACATTTTTATTACAGCCTCTGAGGACCATACTCAATAACACCAATATCACTAACCTCCCGAATGTGATGAGTGGCACTGTTTCTCTTTGGAGACACATCTGATGTCAGATGATGATGACAGCTGGTTTTAGCCAAAACAGTTAGCTCAAACTAATCTTCCTCTTTGGTAGTGCTATGCAAGGCTCACAGAGACAGTAACGCTACCCTCCTTTATCAGTCGGTTGTTATCACACAGACAAATGTGTTGCGGGTGGTGTTTGTTATGTTTGTTGATTCATGTCTGTCAGTGCTTGTTCATTATCTTGTTCTACATCAATAATCTGCTGATGGAGAGGAAGGTGGGAGGAGATGCGGCACCATACTGGTGATGGGCTGGTGAAATGCTACATGGTCCCATGCAGCAACAAAATGTTCTGGATTCCATGTCTCTGTCTTTATATGACCTTACCTTGAAAAAGGCTTATGGTCATCAACAAATGAATAGAAATAGCCGCTCAGTGTTTAGTGTTCGCTGTCACAATGAGGCATTTACACCTTTTTTTTCATTTCTTTTTTGGATTTACCATCTATGTTACAGTAATTTTGTGTTTGAACATCAATTAAGCAGTATTTACCAGTGTAGACTCACTTCTGTTCTGCTGGCTGAAGAGTAGGGTTCATATTCAATACTAACGTCCAAACTAGTAGAATCCAAACACTTGCATTCACTTGTATGTGAATGTATGATCTACTGAAGGTCAGTGGGATCAACTGTAGCTTAAATACAAAGGCAGGCTTCATGGCAGAATGTGGCTCAGTTGTACGGGTGCATCAGCAGGAAACAGGAAATCATGCCCTTACAGAAGAAACACAGAAATACAAGCAAAATTAGAAAAAGCCACACACACCAGGAAAGGAGAGAACAGCAGGAAATCAAAGGGAAGGGGAAAGGAAATCCTAACACAATGATGTGGCTAACAGGTTAGCAAGAATTAGCAGCCTCAGTCTATGTGTCTTTCTAGACACTTGGAACAAGTCCCATATTCTCTCTTCTTTTGAGCGAGATTATTCATATGAAGAACATTTCAACAGCAAGTCAATTAAAAGTAGTGTCATTGTGTCCCACTGAATTTTCCAGTAGGTCTGAATCTGTCTAAGCCAAATTAAAACATTTTTAAACAGTCGTTCTGGAAAGGAATTCGGATTCCTGGCTCCCTGCTGTCTTCTCCAGTGATGTCATGGTTCTGCCCCCGGTCACATCCCTGGTGTGCATGCTACAGGAGGAAAGAGGGGGAGGGAGGGGGTTTCAGCTCTTATCTGCAGTGGGGCTGGAGGCAGGGATGGAGGGATGAGCTGAAAGGGAGAAGATGTAATAAAAACAGAGGTAGAGAGAAAGTGAGCAGAGGAGGAGCTGGGCGTCTGCAGTGAGTCAGCATCAAGTGTGGATCATTGGATTGGCTGTGGAGGAACCAAGCGATTGGCAGTCCACTGTTACCACACCTCTTGATCACGTCACGCAGTAGTTCTCCAGGGGCACACAACCCACGTCTCCTCTGATGCATTCCTAACACCCAGCACTATTTTTTTCTTCTTCTTGCAGTACTGCTTCTTCATGCATGATCTTTATTCAGGTGCAAAACAAGGGAATTCATCTGAAACATATGCATTAAAATGAACCACAGAGACTGATGTAAATCTGAAAAACACACCACATGTAAAATATTACTGTTGCAGGGATTTGTATTCATAATGACGGAGTGTCGTTTATAACTGCTGTAAGCTGTGGTACTGACACAAACCTTATCACCAGCAGCTGATAATCATAAAACAGAGTGATGTCTTCTTTATGGAATAGCTGATGTTTTTTTATTTGTCTGTGTTCCTGATGATCCAGGCTTGGATCTAGAGCCCATGTTTGTCACAGACAGTTTTAAACTACACTCATACAATACAACTATCACCAAGGAAAATACACATCTCGTTACACCCATACTGTACTGTGATTAACTTATATCTTTACATGCAGCTCTCTCTGACAGCTCCGTATAATGTTAACATCAATAGTTCCCTCACAGTAAGTTTGATTGGTTTAGATTAGGTTCATCTCACACAATTAGACAGGTTCTAATTTGCTATTGTGACTTATGTTGCAGAAAATGCTGCATCCTGCTGCAGCCTTCATATGAACATGACATGACTGATAAACATAACAAGCCTTATATAATTCAGTTTCATGTTAATATACTGTATGAACTCAAGTTAGTAACTTCACGAGTAGCCTACAATTCCCATAGGCCGTTTACAGTAAAATAAGTGTGTGTAAATAGGTTTTAAACATTGATAAAGAAAAGGAGACTGACCCCTTTTCTATCCCCAGTGGCCTTTCTTCCTTTTTGCTGGTGTTATTTGTTTATTGCTAAGGAGCAGCATGGATGACAGAGATTGTGGTTACGGCAGTAATTTAAATACTTTAATACTTCAGTCTTGAATCTCAAAACTGAAGGTTTTGAAAGGACAGAGATGACTTTTGTGGCTGAGATGGATAAAAGTTGTTGAAATTACTGACTGGGGCATGAAGTCTTCATTTCCTTTATGATGCTCTTAGCAGCATGCCAGAGAAGGGGCGCAAATCATCATCATTGCCGATCAGAGCCGGTGCAGATAAATACTAAAGACTATAAAGACTGCTGTCATCATGACAGAATGCTGTTTGTACTCTTTCACACTGAATCCAGATGTGAGTGGGTTTTACAGCTTAAGTGTATAACCCACAGTGTTTCTATCTAATCCAGAGGCCGTTTTTCAAACTGTTGACTTTTTAAAACATCAAAGTAATTTAAATAATAAATTGGCTCCAACTTTAACCACAACGACTAGTTTTCTTCCACTCACAGCTTTTAATTGCAGATATTCATGAATCATTACTATTGTGTGTTGCATAATGACATAGTTAATGTGTAACTGGCGTTCTCAAAAGTTTGTATTGTTGCACTTATGAGGAATAGCGTGTTATCTGCCAACTAGTTTAGTGGTTATGACTTCAGGACATCAGTATCTTGGACAAAAAACAAACAAAGAGTGGGGCTGTTTTGTTCTCTTCTTTTGAGCACTCTCTGAACATGTCATGACCCAAACAACATGTTCAGATGCAAACTGGTCACCTCTATTTCAGTTGTTTTAAGTCTATACATGGACATGAAGAGCAGCAACAGCTTTTTTATGCAACGTGTGTGTCTGTATGTGTGTGTTTTGAGAATTGAGAAGAACAAAAGTTTATGTTAAAAGTGAAACCGTGTGTTTTCCTGTCTGACCCCTGCCCCTCGTGTAGTCTGGTCTGGTGTGCCGTGAAAACCCAGAGCAGCTGATCATCTCCTTAGAACCCGAGGCAGCATCAATCTACTGCCGCAAGCTCCGCCTCCACCAGATGGTGGACCTGGCCACCCAGACCACCCAGAACGGCTTCAGCCCCACTGACAACGCAGGGAGTGCAGCGAACCAAGGTAAATCCCATCAACACTGATTCTTCCAATACAGTGATGATGCTTTCACACAACAATTCTCACCATGCTTCGTCGACTACTAATCATGCATGCCACCATACTGAGTAGATCTTTATTAATGTGTGTGTGTTAATTTATTTATTGCCTCCTGATGAATGTCATGTCTTCCATAGTGTCTTCAGATCATGGTAAACATGCCTTATTCTTTTACACTCAAACACAAACTGCATGAGGGTCAAATGGCACATTGACTTTTTATTTCTTTCCAATCATCACGTTTACTCTTACTCTTGCTCTTGCTTCTTTTTCTGAGATTCACTCCTATACAATGAAAAAATCATTGATGGGTTATTCATGTCTGTGGTTTTACTGCATGGCCCAGACCTCCTCACACCTCAATGCTGATGGGAGTGTATTTTACTTTGTCAGCCATCACACCTATTAATACAGTGACTGACTAACCCTAACTAGTTATAAACTTTATTTGGGTAGCACCTTTCTTAACAACATTACAAAGTGCTTCACAAAAGGATCAAATCAACAATACAACAATAGAAAAATCCACCCATTCTCTTTTCAACCACACACCCTGTAGAGATCACAAGCATATGTCATGCCCAACATATTGAGACAATCATTCACACTCACACTCACACCTGTGGTCAAACCTAATCTGCATGTCTTTGGACTGTGGGAGGAATCCAGAGTACCTGTCGCCCTAACATAGAAAAAAAGAAATTAACATTCAAAGAGAGATGAGAGCTTTTTAAGGAGGAATTTAAAAGCAGTCACGGATGTAGCATGTCTCAGCATTGAGGTTGGAAATATTTACTCCATATGCAGCCTAAAATTTGGGATAGTGTGCAATGTCCACCCTGCTAGTGCACCTACCAAACTGGATGCTCATTCTGATGCTTGAATATCCTGTATTCTTAGTAAGCAGTTACACACATACTGTGAACATGTTGTTCAGCCAAACAAAATAGCTGTTCTTAATATTCTTCTTCTTGTCAAGAACGTGTGTAATGTGCATTTGTGTGCAGCTCCCAGATTATTGTGCCAGCTTTCAACATCCACTGTGGAGCATTATCAGAGCCTTACAGTTACAATGGACTATTGCACTGTTTGCAAATTTGAAAAGGTGAACTGTCTTGAAACACAATAAAACAGTATACTAACAGGAGAGAGATAGTGCAGTGTCTCAACTGTGGGTAGCACAGGACTATTACTTTGACCAGCTCCAACATATTATCTATTCATAAATAAAACATAAGAAACCACATTACATTAAGGAAAATCATTACATTTCTAGTCATAACAAAAGTGAATCCACCCAGTAGCTCCTGGGCCTTACTAAAGCAAAACCTCACTCTTAAAAAGCTCAAAGTCCATTTAAATAATGTATCAGGATATAATTGGTCTATCGAAATGGTTAAGAACAATAGGGACAGTCCAGTATGTTTCACGTCAAATTATAGATTTGTGTTAAATAGTCATTTCCTGGCTGATAATTGATTTTTACTGTATTCATTCAGTTTCATATCGAAATATGTCCAAATGTAGGTTCAACAGAACATTGTTGTATGTCTTCTCCTCTGAGACTCCTTCAGAACTGTCTCAGGAGCTAATTGTTGTCTATTGCTATGAGGTTGTTAGGTTGCGAGCATGATGTCATGTTAAGTGCAGACCTCTCTCGTGCCCTTAGTGTGCTAGCTGGAGAGCAGTCCTTCCGTCTCCTTATCGTTTCCTCTGTGTAGGAGGAAATCACCCTCTGACACTGACCTCAGCCAGGTCTTCCTGCTATGAGCCAGTCAAACTCAGGTCACATGGCCTCACTGTCCTGCAGGTTAAATGTCCTGTTGTAGACTGAGCTTGTTAGAGAAAGTAAAGACATAATGATGAATGTAGACTGAGGGATGAGTTGGTCTGGACTTATGGTTCAGTTATATTGCAGATGGTTACTTATATTCATCTCTTATTTTATTTATCTCATGTTTGTGGCATGCTGCCTCCTTGGCATGTTTTCTTTAGAAAGTCACAAGTGTGCATTTATTTCTAAAATGGTAGTTTTAGTAAATTGTATTAATGTTCATAGTGACAGTGCCTGCCAGTGTTCTGTTCTCCTCTTTCACTGCATGTTCAGTCTGTGAGCAGCATGATTCGTGTGTGTCCGTGTGTGCATGTGTGTGTGCTCTCTGCTTATTAATAACTTAAATGAAGCCATACCTAATTCTATCGGAATCAGCTTTTGCTCACGGTGTGGATACACAGTGTGCATCACAGCCTGCTGCTTGCTGCCTCGCACACACACACACACAGCAGAGCTTCAAGCCTCCATCACACTCACCAGAACATTCTTTCTCTGTTAACAACCAGCCAAGGAGCATGTTCGGCGCAACCGGCAGAGCCGCACCTTTTTGGTGGAAAATGTCATAGGGGAGCTTTGGTCGGAGCTGGAAGAAGGTAGAGTCTTTATCTTCTTTTACTCATCTGTTGTGATTTCCTTCTGCTTCTTTAGAGGGTAACTGCTCTTGCTGTTTGCTATGCTGCCCAGCTGTCATATTAGGTACTAGCTTTAGACACTGGACACTGATGGAGCAGGCAGAGGATAGTAAAAGGTCATAGTAAACAAACTTCCTGGTACGATGAACATCTGTTGTAAACATCAATCACACTGATGTTGTGTTTCCTACTGTACTTACTTTAGTTGTGCACACACAGTTTAATAACATTTCAGATGCACTCACTTTCAGTTTGACTTGGAAAAAAGTGGTTTGGATATTCTACAACCTGAATGTTGTCTAACTTCACTGTGGTCTTATCATTATTCTCCCAGATCTCAGCTTTGAAACTATTAGTCCAATGTTATTTTAACTGACTAAATGGACTAATTGAATAATGGACACACTCAAGCTGCAAAAATTGACAAATACACTGAATGAATCATTGACTTGATTTGAACCTGTTGGAACCCGATTCACTGATGAGCGTCCGTGTTGAGAAGACTAAGTCCAGCTGAAAGCATCTGCTCTTTAAATCAGAGGCCCTGTGCACTTCTCTATTTCACCACCCCAGAAAGGAAGAATCTCCAGTTTTTATTTCTTGTTACATGTAGTTGCTTAAAATGCGACATTGAATATATTTTAATTTGCATATCATCTGAAGGCAAAACTGTTGTTGGTTGTCCATGAGTTCACTATTTACCTTTTCCAGTTTCTCTCCTATCATCACCTCATCGAGTGCGCTTGCTGACACTACAGCCACAGAAATGTTTGTCAGCAGTCCTCTCTCCTTTTGTGAAACTGAGGAGTCAAGTCGATCCTCCCTGGAGAATCTGAAAGCAGCAGATGTAGATAAGAGGCATTGGATGCATGTCAGAGGCAATAAGTCCTGCCAGGAAGGATGCTGTAAGATAAGTTGCATTTCAGGTGCCCTGTGCCTGAGCTCACGCTCACTCTGTGTTCCGTTCGTATGATTTTCTGTGCAGGGGATCGTTATGTAGTGGTGGACTGTGGTGGAGGAACAGTGGACCTGACTGTTCATCAGATCCGTCTTCCAGAGGGACATCTGAAGGAGCTCTACAAGGCCTCAGGTAAAAGGACCAACAGTGTAACACAATGTGGCTTCGCTCTGCTTTCTGCTCATGGTCTTACCTTGATGAGTAGTTATCATCAGTCACAATCCCCTCTTTCCCCAGGTGGTCCCTACGGCTCTATTGGTATTGACTATGAATTTGAGAAGCTGCTGTGTAAGATCTTCGGTCAGGATTTCATCGACCAATTTAAGATCAAGAGGCCGGCCGCCTGGGTGGACCTGATGATTGCATTCGAGTCTCGGAAGAGAGCAGCAGCCCCTGAACGTACCAACCCCCTCAATATTAACCTGCCTTTCTCCTTCATCGACTACTACAAGAAGTTCAGGGGCCACAGTGTGGAACATGCCCTGCGCAAGAGCAAGTAAGTGCATCCAGAAAACCAGGGGCCGAACCAACTCAGGTTGGAAGGAAGATTATCTTTTACAGCTGCATCGTTTTTTATTTCAACTTTTAAATGTGAAAAAAGAATAAAACACCAACAGAGAAAAGAAAAATATACAACAAAAATACTGGAAAAGAGCCAGAGCAGTTGCAGCTCTTTAAAATGGATAATTATAATTATAGTTTTTAATACTTGACATAGTAATAGTTTAGTATTTTTATGAAAATACTTTTTCTGATAGCCAAATGTTCCAAAGTTGTATTGGGATCTAGTTAGCCTAGCTTAGTATTGGAACTGGTTGAGCTGGTAAAGCTGTTAAGCTTGGTTCTTGGTTACCAGTTAAGTCCATATAAGGTGAACTTATACCTTTTTATCCTAAATCATTTTAGCATGAAGCAGCAGAACTGGGGGAAGAAAAAACTAAATCAGTGGCAGAGAGAATATTAATGGTGACATATCCTTTCACTGTTGGCCATTAGAGCTCTGAATTCTGGGATCACTATGGAGTCTAGACTTGAATGGCTCTGTTTTGTTTGCATTTTCATAATCCCAGTGTGCGACTTTAAAAAGATTTCCATGACTGAAACTGGAGCCCTTAGTGGCCTCCAGGCTCCTCTGACGACTGACTGGAAGTGCTCAGCGTACCTCAATTTGCTGGAAAGCCTTGGGTGTGGCCAACATTAACACTATCACACACACAGTATGTGGACATCACACACTCACATGTGCACATCGCATCGCAATGGATCACACTCATGGGAAGGAGGCAGATGGATACTATGGATTCTTGCAGGAGTTGAGGTTTGGCAGACGAGCAGACACAGGCAGGCCTGAGGGAGACAGCTTCAGAAGAAATCGATGACACAGCTCCACACAGCCTGGCCTGTCACTGGCCTTTGCTACTGGGTTTCACACTGGGAACAGTGGCTGAAAGGGAAATATTCCAACACAGTGTTCCAAACACTATAGTCAGCGTAGTGAATCAACACACAGCAGTGTGTAGAAGAGGCTGGTTCACAGAGGACGAGCCCTTTAAAGGTCCAGTGTGTAAGATTTAGGTTGATATCTGTGTGATATTCAAAAAGGTTTCATAATTAAGATAAAGACATCGATAAAAGATTTTGGATCGAGAAAGATTGAAATACAAAAATGTTATTTTTCTTTGTTTTCTTCAACAGGGCCCTGTGTATTGAAAAATGTGAAATAAATAAATTTGATATATTATATAGGGTTTGTATCCAATTTGTAGCACACATCATGTGTCTGGACAACAACAGTGTTGCAGATAGTGCTGAGATTTATTAAGTAATACTTTGATATTGTTTTACAAAGTTATGTAAAAGGATCTTAGCAGATTGTAAGTGAAACCAAGGGTTTTTTCTATCTAATTTTAAACACACAGTTCATTTCACTGAGCTAAAGTGATATATATTGATAACATTGTCTTGGTAGTTAGACTCGTAGTTGCAGATGATTTTACATTCACAGAACTTAGTGGACTAAATGTAACCGATCTTCTCTCGTCTTCTCTCCAGTGTGGATTTTGTTAAATGGTCGTCTCAAGGGATGCTGAGGATGAGTCCAGACGCTATGAATTCCCTCTTCAAACCCACCATAGATCACATCATCCAGCACCTCAGTAAGCTGCTCCCATAACTCACACTCCTCAGACACACATTTGTGATCAGTCAATTCTGTCTCACAGACGTTATTCACACATTCTGTATCAATAAAGAATAATTCTATGTTTCATACTGTATACCATATAATATGCCGTTTATGACATAGTGATGTGTTTGCGTGTTGGTCTCTTCTTAAAACCAGCAAACCTACATTATTCATAACCACCTTAACCAGTGGAAAATAGGTCACATTACTTTAGCATGAATTGTTCTGCTCAGATTTTCACTGGTAGCCTTATTTTGATTTTTAGTTTGCCTTCTAAATGCAGTAATTTCCATTTATCTATGAACAACTTTAAAACACACTCAGTGGCATGCATACCTCCGCCAAGGCCCTACAGTCCCCTTATGAAACCACATTTATTAAAACTAAATTTTTATTTTTATTTGGATTTGCAGCAAATTGCACACACACATAATCATCCCCTAGATATAATAAGATCCATGAGTTAGTCTCTGAGAAATCTATACAAATTTTGGAAAGTTTTCTTTTTTAATATCCCCCGTGGGTCATGCCACACCCTCGCCCAGATTTCATGGACCTGTTTTGAGTCGTTTTTGCGTGATCCTGCTCACTAACTAACAAACACAGATGAAAACTTAACCTCCTTACCGGAGGTTATTCATTCATCAACTCTTAGTATCACTGTAAGGGTTTTGTTCATTAAGATTCTGTGTATTCTCCTCCAGCCGAGCTCTTTGACAAGCCAGAGGTGAGCGACATTAAGTTCCTATTCCTAGTGGGAGGTTTTGCTGAGTCGCCCTTGCTACAGCAAGCCGTCCAGAACATGCTCCAGGGCCGCAGCCGCATCATCATCCCCCATGACGTCGGCCTCACCATTCTGAAAGGTGCCGTGCTGTTCGGCCTGGACCCCAGCATCATCAAAGTCCGCCGCTCGCCCCTCACATACGGCGTGGGCGTCCTCAACCGCTTCGTTGAGGGCAAACACCCGCCAGAGAAGCTGCTGGTGAAGGACGGCACCCGATGGTGCACTGACGTTTTCGACACCTTCATCGCCGCAGACCAGTCCGTGGCGCTGGGTGAGATGGTGAAACGGAGCTACACGCCGGCCAAACCTTCCCAGCAGGTTATCGTCATCCACGTCTATTGCTCAGAGAAGGAGAGGGTGGGGTTCATCAGCGAGCCCGGTGTCAGGAAGTGCGGAACACTTCGTTTGGATGTGAGTGGAACGGAAAGCACAGCGCCGCGCCGTGAGATCCAGACGCTCATGCAGTTTGGTGACACAGAGATTCGGGCCATGGCAGTGGATGTGTCCACTGGACGCACTGTCAAAGCTAGCATTGACTTCCTCAGCCACTAAGTAGACCATGAGAGCTAATGCAACAGAATTATTGGAAGTATACGAAATGGAAAATACAGCTTACTCACATACACACATAGACACACACACACATACATATTCACATACAGAGCCAACAAGCTGGGGATATTTACTTGAAAGTGTTTAAGGATATTCAATCTCAGTTTAAGCAGCAGAATTTGAATGAAAATTCGAAAACTTAAACGCAGGATGACATTCAACTGTAGAATCTGAAAAGAAAATGTGTCTTTTAAGGTCCGTCCATTCACGTCCGTCCCCGTAGTCAATTTGTTGACAAGCTCCACAGTGTTCACACACTCATAGCAAACCCATATACCCCCATGTGATACAGCTGCATCTGCATAGGGTCAGATTTAAGAGCTTGTTATCAACACAATTCATATAAGATAATAATCCAACACAACCATGGTGGAAACATTCAGAACACGTCTTTGCATGCTTCACTTTCTTTTTTGCCGCAGCAGGTCATTGCATTTCAGTCATGATACTGATTTCCACTCTACTTCACAGCAGTTCTAAGGGCCATTCCAGTGGTTTTGCATTATTCAGCACTTTAAACGTTCTGTAAACCGTCACACAGCTGCACAAAGCATATCAATAGCCAACCTCTGAACAGGGCCTCAGTTACCTTAGGTGCCATTGCAAAGGTTAACTGTGGGTGTCATGTTATCACCTACTAGAGATGAAATGGTTCACGTGTTAGCAAACACCCCACTATTCACATGTGGAGACCTGTTTGGAGCTTCCTCTCCTTCAAACTCTGTTTTCATCTCCACCAACTCCTGAGCAAATACCTGGCTCTTCAGCTTCCACATGTTCCACTCTGTCCACCAGCTGCCTGTTTGCTGCTGGACTGGGGGGTACTCAGCAGACTGATGAGGACAGTGAGACTGAAACAACCTGTAAAATTGTGAAACCAAAACTGCTTCAAGTTGCTCAAATCACTAAAGCTATCTAGTTTACATACAGGTAGTATTTGATTTTACTCCGGTTATAGCTGTTAAATACACAACAGCTCAAGACAGAAATCCGCCTGGGATTTTAAGATGCCACATTTATGGATTCAAATTCGTATTACCTTGACTCAGAGCTCTGAACATATCACTGAGTACCATAAAGGTACAGCATTTAAAAAACAAACCGACCAGTAAATCTACTTTTCAATCAGTAAACAATGAATGCAAAGCCACCAGTCTGGTTCTTAAGGAACGTGCTGTGAGCTCAGTCTGAAAATCAAGTGCGGCCATCAGATGTGCTTAATTGTTGCCTTTATTTCATTATGCTTCTATTAGACGTGGACTAAACGCCACTCGCTCACCTCAATATGTTGAAGCCAGATGTGACTCCAGTCGAGACAATGAAGTGTGTTTATTTCTGTAAATACAGTATTTAAATATTGTACAGATTTATAGCCTTGTTTCCGCAGCTTTAGAGCCAAGAGCCTGTGTGTGTGAGGGGGGGGGGTGCTTTCTCATGAACATCTCAACATTTTTTTCCACACCAGCCATAGCATGAGAGGCCAAGGCAGGTTTGATTGCCTTGTTCAGTCAGAATGAGAGATTTAATGTGTTGCCTGTTTTATTTTTATTTTTTTTTTGCAAACATGAAGAAACTTGAATACCTCCGTCCTTAAAAAAGCATTTGAGTGAACAAGTCTGCTGTTAGTTTTGAAATGAGCAGGATCTGAATGTGTCCAGTCCCCCTTCCCATCCACCCTGCAGCACAGCTTCTGTAGGGATTTCATCGTGATTCATAACAAATTCAGCATCTTATTATTTCCAGGAAATAATAACTAGACCCATCAAATATATTAAACATGGTTGTTTGTGTTTTACAGCTGAGGAATAGTCAGCAATAATTATACGAGCAAAAAGCCACAGTTCCACGTGGCTATGGAAGGTTTAAGTCTCAAGTCTTAATTAAAAGAGTGCCTAGAGTGAAGAAATTGTGATGTCGAGAGTCACTCATCCAATCAGAACATGCGGCGCATTCCTTGGCCCTCTTGAAGATATCCTGAAGCTTTATATACGTGTGAGCTCAGACGTAATCACTGAGAATCACACTGTGAGTTCATTAGCATGCAAACAACACGCTCATCTCACGTCCACGTGAAAAAAACTTGCGTAGGTTGAGTTAAAGGGGCATTACTGTGAGTTCTCTCTGATCTTCACTGACACCTGCTGGCTGCCAGGAGAAGCAACACTGGTGAAAGTTGTTCAAGCTCAAGTCTTAAAGACTGGAAGGTGCGACAACTAGCATGGAAGCTTCCTCCGTTGTGACTCTACAGGGGGGCTTTAGTCTTTAAAGGTCAAAACTGACTAAATGGTTTGTGAAAACTCACGTGTGAAGGTCTCAGAATGATTCAGAGTAACCTCAGCAAGTTACTGCCTCCTCAGACTCGTAGCTTTATTGCAATAATTAGTACTTTCAGGTGGAGTGTCCTTTCTCACCGGCTTTCTTTCCTGGTGTGACCAAAGTAGATGTGACGCACCGGTTGCCAGTGTAAAGTGGGTTTGATTGGCAACATGTCCATATGTACATTGCCTCCATAACTCAGTAAAGAATTTGCACTGGTTGCATTTAAATAGACAGATTTCCTTCTGAAATGTTGCTGTCATAGACGCTGCTGTGGCCGAGGACCTCGGACAGAAAGCTCCATTTGCTTTTCCTTCCTGGTTCAGCAGATCCAGATGATGAGCATGACCGTGTGTCACCACAGCCCAACACAAATCAGTGGTGGATATGGTGTCACACAGTCTCTTAGCCAGTGAAATGATGAGTCAGAGCTTGACATGAAACATAACGAGGCAACACATCACCGTGATGAATACTCAAAGAACAATAAACCAAGTAATCACTGAGTCGTTGGTATTGATCAACAACCCCCACAGATATATTAGTAATTATACGCTGTAGTGTATTTCATTATAACCACTTTAAAAGCAATTTCCTTTGGTTCTTTATTTAAACTGTGAATGGAAACTTGTCTCGCTCAGTGTCTGTGCACAAATATGCACATGCTTCAGTGCTCTTTGCTCCGACCGGCACTCTGTCTGCAATGCACGTTTTGCATGTGTCACACGGGAATGACTACATAACAAGTTGCTTTTACTAGTACACAAAGTCAGGTTCACCACTGAAGAAGAAGATGGTGGTGAAGATGGAGATGGTGGTGTTTTCTGGAAGAAACCGCGGCCTTGGTTGTGTGTAAACCCTGCTGCTTTCTGAGCTGATGTAGATCATGTTAACGATGGCAGCTCCTAACACTCATAGCAGGGCGGCACTTCACATACTGTACTGATGATAACTAACCTTATAACCTTCTACACTTCACTGCTCTGACTAATGATGGATATCAGTGGAAGGCTTTAATAACACCACGGCCTGTTGTGTCCTTGATTACATGATTACATTATTGTATTTCGTGCAGCCTTGAGTATTATACGATGCACAGGACACTGTTTTGTAGCAGCTTTATACGTAAAGCTATGAGACAAATTATATGAAGACTTGTTTAGCTGGTATTTGCTTTCTGTTGGTGGCACACAAGGCAGCAGATGCCTGAGGTGGAGTATCACAGTGGGTGTGATTGGAGGTAGCAGCTTGCATCATGTAGAAGTGTCTGCTTAACACTATCTAGACAAAAATAATAGAAAATATAGGAGGAAAAAAAATGCATTTAAACTGATTGAGCTTGTAGTTAGGATCCTCTCAGCCACTGTGGAACTTAACACAATGTACACTTTGTTCTTTTAGTCCTTTATTGATGATGCAAAGGAGTTTTTATTTTATTTTTTATCTTCAGTTACTTAAATGTCTTGTTCTCTTGCAATCTCCACACAGTAATGGATGTTTTTTTTCTTGATCAATGCCAGGTATTCACTGTCAGACTGTCACCAATAAAATGTATGTGTATTTCAAACAACAATCCATCGTGTTGTGTTTTCTGATTTAACCATTTAAGATGGTATTTATATATATATATATATATAAAGGTGTAAAGGTGAGAACACAACCAGTAGAGAAAACTGGAAGAGTGGGTACAGTATGTCAAGGTTACGGTCTAACGTGACAAGGTAGTATATATATATATATATATATATATATATATATATATATATGCTCAGCATGGCCCTGACTAAAACACCTGATAACTGCAACACACAAAATCATTAATCATGTTTTATTCTCCCACTTAAAGGATCTAAGTTCATGTATGAAGTCATTATTTCATTTGGGTTCACAGAGGGCCATGCACTGGGCGAACCATCTTTGGTAATATGTATTATAGTGTAGATTAGAAAATGAAAGTGACTCTTGATTCTGACACAGTGGCAAACATACAGTGTAAACACACAGTAAAATAAAAGCAGGTTGTCCGCTAATTGTTCGATTCCCGCCTCATTTACTCTGCATCTCGAAGAATCGTTGGGCCGGATGGTGGGCTGATTTTTCAGATTTTTCCTTGTCAAAAATAAGATTCCATCTGAGCAACATCCATCTCCCTCCTCTTAGTGGATGATCACAGAGCCTGACAGAAATGTTCTCATTCAGGTGGTAGCCATCTTACTTGCCTCTTCTTAGGAAACCTGAGCTTCCCTGTAACCAGCTGACTCTGGTATCTGGCAGCAAAAAGCACCCTCTGCTCATCGTGGTGCAGCAGGATCTGCCACAGAGCAACGGTGCTGCACACCTAATCAAAGAGAGAGAGCAGCAGCACATCAGAAGACAACAACACGAGCGAGAATGAACATGCAGGGCACAGAGAGAGCTGCATCCTCCGCTCTGCCAGGACATCACCTCTGTCCAGGTCAACGAGAAGCTTTGACACAGTAAGATCAGCTGTTGTTCTGCCTTGAAGCATTCGTCTTCTACTTCCTTGTCCTCATCCACATCCTCCAGCATGTTCTGTGTCCTCTGAGCCAGGGTTCATCTTCAGGTGCTATCCACACAGACTCAGCACCAAGCAGCTCTGCTATGAGTGTGTTTCTGTCAGTGCTACTAGACACACCATTGCACGCGTACACACACTTCACAAGGTGCGACATCCTCTGTCCTTAACACCCCTGCAAGAGTAAGGAAGAAAAAACCTGTTAACAGGGAATACAACGTAGAAACCTCAGAGAGAGACACAGAGAGACAGAAGTACAATAGATGCCGTGTGTCATCAAAATGACAATATTTACAACATTGATGAGAAGACTGCACCATTAACCTGCATAGTAATGGCCACAATAAGAGCTTTTGCTCTACTTTATCCGGCAGAGGCCAGGCCACGTCCTCCATTTCACGAGGGGCCGATGCACAACACCTGACAGATCTGATCTCCTGGACACAGCTGCCCCCTGCAGAGGCTCCTTGAGTAATCCAGCGTCCACAAAAACAGTGGCACCTCCAGTTTAATATAAAGTCAAAGTGTTACAGTTTAAAATGTGCTCGTGTTGTTCCTCACTAACGTAGTCGAAACAATCAAATTAAAGAACAGCACAGAACGCTGGCAAACAGAAGACACTGAAGAACACAGGAGGAGTCTTTCCCTTGTTCTTGTATGTTAACAGACCAGCATGCACGGTGTCACATGTTTGATTCCCACTGCGTCTTCATGTGGCAGGACCTCTTTGACTCACCAATCAGGTTCAAGGACATATCCTAGGACAAACTGCTGCAGCCTGACAACCAGTCACTGCTCTCACGAAAAACCTTTTCTCTCTTCATGCTTCCTCCACAACACTGACGGCATTGGTGGTGATTATAAAATAGCTTATTGTATGTGTGCTCAGTAACTGTATTAGTGTTTGTGTTGAGAAGAAGAAATCTGCTGAAAAACTCGGAGGAGCAACGGCTTCATCTAGTGGCGAGAAAAGTGCACAGCAGCCAGGAGCTCCAGCTCAGCTTGACTGACGACAGCTATTTCACACCCAGTTGCAAAAGCAAACATTTTGTATTCATAAAATAAATTATTAAGAGCTGCACAATAAAAATCTAACATAGCAAAACCGTGAGCTATGCATATTTTTGCCATGTGTCATCTTTGTCATCTTTTCGAAACTGGACCCAGAACAACACTGGCAACACAAAACAGAATGACATCATTAAACTTTGCCAAACAGCCACTGACCTACTTTAGAATCTATCAAAGAATAAATACGAGCAGCTAACGTCACTCAGAAATACTCAAAAACTCAATCTCTTTCTTTAAAGCCAGGACAACAAATGAATAATCATCAAAACTGCTCTGATGGAAGTAAAAATAGAATTTTGCGTATACAGAAACAATAACTATTAACATATCCGAGTTTAAATTGTGGATGGTGATAAAATAATCACATTTCCAGCTTCGGTTTTGAGTCCACAGTGACTATACAATTCAATGTTCAGTGTTGGTGCAGAGTCAGTATGAAGCAGCTCATTTAATGGATGCACCTCAGGTTACAGCGAGGAGGCGAGTGAGTCAAGGACGGCACGAACGTCGCACAGCGAAAGTCATCTAACGACATTATGGGACGTCATGGATGAAGAACGAGACTTAAGGATTCCCACTTTCTCCAGTCATTGTTCCTGAGCAAGACACTGAACCCCTGAGTACTCCTGATGCTGCATCATCCGTGTGTGTGTGTGTGTGTGTGTGTGTGTGTGTGTATTCATTGGTGACACATTGAGTGACTGAGTGGTTGATAGACTAGAGCAGGTTGTTTATAACTGCAGTCAAACACTGACGCTGAATTCAAACTATATTTCAAGAGCTGATACTAAAACAAGGTCATGAGCATGTTGGTGTCGTTGAGTCGTACTTCTATGTTCATAAAAACACACTTCCATTGAAGTGGTGTCACTGAGCTGATACCTCCGTAGTTTCAGACTCAGTTTCACAAATCACATAATTGTGTTTTGCTCCAGTGTGAAAATAGCAATCATGTAATTCAAGTAATTCAAACTATATATAAATATATATTACGTATTTATATATTTCATTATTGTCTAAGAAGTAATTGTGGAACCTGGTCTCTGTAATTGGAAAACTGCGGTATCTACAAAACAGCACATCTATATATATATATAGATATACTGTATACTTCAATATAGAGTGCTTTAAGTGAGCTCATTGGCAAAGAAAATAAACTCTTTCGGACGCTACTCTGCATCATTGTCACAGAATTATGACAAACAATAACAGCAACGTTTATTCGACATTGATCTCAATACTTAAAAACACTTTGAATGACCATATTCACATTTAGAAATAGCCTTAACCTCCCGCTGCACTCTCTCCTCCTGTCTCTCTGCTGCAGGCGCGATGCATGATGGTAGTTATTGCTCGGTTAGTGACCATCCACCGTACGCTACTTTTCACCATGCACTGTGGGAAACAGTGACTCCACCTTATAGCGAATGAAAAATTCACTCATCATTCAGACAGCACTACAAAATGGCGAACTGGCTATGTAGTGGCCCATGGAGTGATCGGTGAGTGATCAGAGGATCAGACGGAAAGTTCGTGTGTCCATCCTGAATAACTGGGACTAATACCAGAGAGTCACACAGACAGCGAGACTTCATCCTCTGCTCAGGACGCCATCACTCCACTACGGCTGAGCAGAGAGATGAATCCAACATGTGGCAGCCATTCATGTCTAACATTGAATATACATTCCCTCTGGAGGAAAAGAACACTTCTATAACTGCTTTGTCATAAAAACTCATATACTTCAACAAATTTCTACCAAAGAACCCAGCGGTGATTCACACAGCGGAAAATGAAACTATACACAAGCACTTATTCAGTTACCAGAATACATTTACACAATGAGTGTATTATTCTCACACAAGTGGTGGTAGAGAGCCACTCAACCCTTTACAGGGCAAGGCTGTTTTTAGTTTGGATGTGGTGTATGTGTGTGTGTGTGTGTGTGTGTGTGTGGGTGGGGGGATTAGGGGAAGGGGACTGAGGAGACGGGGTGAGAAGGTCGGATAGGTGTGGCAGATTTCCCTCAAATAGCTATAGAGTAGAGTAGTTGCTACGGCAATCTGGAGGGACCCAAATCCCCCAAGTGGCCCTTCAGCGGCTGGCTCGGCTGCCCTCCCACATACAGGCTCTCTTACCGTTAATGGCTGGGTTCAGAGCTACATGACTAACCAATGAAATCATGGGATTGTAACAGGGAGCTCGACACACTCCGTGCTTGTTCAAGCTTCACTTGGTTGAAAACAGGCAGAATGTAAGTTCATTTGTTTGTTTGTTTGAATGGAATATTTGTTTAACCCTCTCAAGCATTCAGGTGTAAAGGTCGGCCTGGACACTTGAACACACACCCACGCACACACGCACACACACACACACACACACACACACTGCAGTGATGCGGCAAACAAATGTTTGTGCTCTCATCGTGTGGCGATGACCCACTGTGACATCACCCATTGGTTTGTGAGCTGCCGTTTTGAAGCCTTGAGTTTAGAACTCCAGGACTTTTCTTCAAGCAACAAACATATTTCCACAAAGTAAAGGACATTCAGCTCTTTTTTATAAATATAGATAGAATGACACGTTGCATGGTAAATAGTCTGTCATGATATTAGAACTTTTCTAGTCTTGATAAACATTCAAGCTCTTTACAGACCTAAGGTCAACTTCTTTTAGATTTAAAAAACTTTCCTGTTTGCCACTGCCTTTTATTAAATCATACAATTACTAATTACTTACACTGCATTATTATTTTCCCCTCATTCATCCTTTTTAAAATTTATTTTAAATGCTCTAAATCTTTTTCGTATTGTCCCGTGTTGCTTTTACAATTTGTCTTGATGCCTGTGTGCCTGTGTCCTCTCTGTGGAGGCCGCCGTGTTTTTTACTGTCGTCCAAACTGGACAAACTCGAATCTTTTGAGTTTTCATGACAACTGAAGTTCACCACAGGTTCTCCTTCATGTT